GGCCCTTAGAGTCTTCACGTGAGCCAATAAACATCCTTCACTGAAGAAAGCTGCAGGATAAACAATAATCTCAAGGACAAGGCCAGGTTTCATTTTACTTCAGCAAACTATAGGATGTTTGGAAAACACAGTAAAAATACACAGGAGGCCGGCCATGGTAACACGATAGTAACACAATGCTTCATAATGCCCAGGCCATATGGGAAGGCTCCAGGCTCAGGTTTCAAAATCTCTTTCAGCACACAGGGCACACACATACCCATGATCCTGGCTAGCTGAAATAAGAGGATAGGTTGTGGTGTAACACACAACACACACACACACGAAATTGGTCCAGGGAGCATAATGGAAAGGGAGGTTCAAAGAATAGAGAGCAAGAATAGAAGCCAAAATTTGTCTGGCAACAAGCTGTCTCATCCTGTGCCATCAGAACTGACTGTTGGTTTTCCAGTAAGTCGGATAAAATGGGAAAAGATAAAAAAAAAAATGATTCATACATACCATAAACACTTTATATAACTTAAAACATAAATGTACACACATGTGCCAATCTTTTGATGTAAGGCCAAGGCCTATTCTCTGCATATGGATCTGCTGATTGGAGTTATGCGTCTTCTGTCTTACATAAACCACATCCTTCATCTATGATTTCCAGTTTTGCTTTCTTTAAAATGAGGGCAAGAACCTGAAGACACTTGTGAAATCATCTGAATGCAGAACACATCTTGATTTTTGAAACTACACACAAACACACACACACATTCCCACGATCTTTTACCATTGTCTTGCTACGCCTAGTCAATAGCAAAGTTTTAGTAATATGGGAGATTCCCACATTTAGATCCCTCCAGATAAGCTGAAATTGTACCTGTTAGGCTGGTTTTTTTGTTTGTTTGGTTGGTTTTGTTATTTTTCTTTTTTAAATTTTCAAGCTGGTAACTAAGTTATAGCCAATCATGCTAGTCACATTTCAGTCAGTCACAGATGTCCACCTTTTAGACTGGTGGTGCAGCCTACCTTCCACCTGGAACCAGTAATCTCTCTAGCTTACTTTCTCACATCTTTATATGACACTTTCTCTTTTTTACCGCACATGTCACTTTCCTGTTCCTCCCACATGTATTCTCTGTAAACCACATGGCTAGCCGTAGTCTCTCGGAAGCCATCTTATGACTGGCCAATTTAAACAGCCCACTCTGTTTAAACTCTGTTAAATTTTGGTTTATCTAAATTTGTTTTTAACACCTTTCTCAAATCATTTAGCTTAGTTTACATGGAGAAAAAGGGAAAAAACCTATTTTGCATTTGATCCATCTATTCACCCTTCTTTTAAACTATCTAATTAAAATAAGAAATACAACTGGCTAGACTGAGGACAAACACAACACAACTGACCCTTTGAAATAAGACAAGTTAGTTGGCAGAAGCAAAAGCACATGGACAAAATGAAGAGAAGTCATCTGGCTGAGCACATGGCTGACAGGTGCAATCCATATGGTCAATAGGAAACACAGGATTGGTTAACCTTTTAAGTCCATTGAGAAGTCAATCTGCGAGAACTTGAGCTACACAAGTGACAAGGTAGGTTGCATTTGGAGTCAGCAAGGACAGAAGTGAACTGTGATTAAATGGCTACAAATTTGCAAATGAAGAAGCAACACTGAAGACTGCCTTTTCCTCCCATGTATTCTTTTCTCTCTCAGACCCTTAACTCCTTTTCCTTTTGGAAAAGGAAGACCAGGAGTTTAAGGAATGGGTAGAAGAGCACAAAGAGCTTCAGAGAAGGGTCTGAACTTCTGGAGTCCGTTCCAGATCCCAAGCTCATTCCATTTACTTCATCTTTTTAGTATTCACATCTAGGAATTTAACCCACTTGTCCTTTTCACCATCTACATCTTTCCTTTACCCGAGTTTTTCTGCTGTGTAACTAGGGATCACTATTCACACTTGGTCACATTGTCTCTCTCATTCTTTCTTCCCACTGCTTCTTCTGGGAGGTTACTCCAACTAACCACGTATAAGAGAAAAGGCGATAAAACTAACAAAAAAAAAAACAAAAACCAGAAGTATCTATACTTTTAAGAAATGCTCAAAGTACCAATGTTAACTGGTGTAGGGCTAGGCATACTCTAACCCTAAACAGCATCACTAATTCTCTTCTGACATTTTTCAGTAGAAGGTACTGCTTTCATATTCCTAGGGATTCAGCACACATTTTCCCATATTCTTCAATGAGGAATCTTCCAAATTACAAAGTCTCTCTCCCATATATTTACAGCAACGATTCAATAGATATTCAGGGTAAAGAACAGTGGTCACTGCTAAAATGGTCACTGATACATTAACCACCGTCTACTGAGTATGTATTATGGTTAATCGGTGTGTTAGCTACCTCACAGGAGTCAGGCATCATCTTGTTTAATCAACACTGGGGCAGCGCCTTTTTCCTTCATTCATGACAGAACATGTGCATGCACACGTGAAAAAGAAAGAGGAAAGGAGATGCACGGGGCGGTGGGAGGGGACAGAAACTGACAGACATTCTCCACAGAGTCTGGCCACACCACAATCTCCTTTTTCTAGTCCTCTTGCCCTTCGAATCTTGGGCACCCGCATACATGCATGGTGTGTTTCAGGCTGACCGGGCTGCGGATTCAAAGAACAGTTGCCATGTGGGATCTGCTGCTGCTGCTGCTTCTTTTTTTTTTTTTTTTGTTAGTGGGGTTTGTTGCGCTGTTTTTTTTTTTTTTTTTTTTTTTTTCAGTATATGTGCTGCCGAAGCAAGAACGGGACCTGCTTCTTTAAAGCAGTGCATTACCTCTGTACCACAAAGCTAGCCAGAGGTGCTATTACCATCATCATCATCCCCATTTCACAGATAAATGTACAAAACTAGAGGGATTGGGGCTCCCGCCCCCCAGCGCAGCCGCGTGCCGGAACGGCCTGGCCGGTGCCCCCCCCCACTGTGGGGGGGCCACGCGGCCGGGGGCTCACGCCCCCCAGCGCCGGCGCGGG